ATTTGTACTTATATAGAGAAAATTAACTGTATTAGGGTTGCTAATAAAGCACTTCGTTGATTTATTTTAATCATAATAATACTTTAATATACTACTATTAAAACAAAGCTATAACGAAATGCTTTATTAACAGTCCTATCTGGTATAAGTATATAATATAAATATGTCAAAGTATTTTTAAAGTTTATTAAACATGCCTTGATTCGATTTTTTACTAGCCTAAATTACATTCGCCATTACCATAACTCTATATACGAGTCACATGATAATCCAAATATCAACGTATATAATTATAAATTATATAAGATTTGTCATTAAAACTTCAATAATAATCCATATAAGTGTTAGCAGTTTTAGCCGTACTGATATATCTTTATTTTTTTATACAAAATATTACAAACTAAATATTGCGACATACATTTTTGATCGAATAAAATATAAAAAAATATCCTACTACTCCTATACAAAATTTTTAAAGAAATGTACAGTACGTATTCAAGTTTAAAAATAATTTACCACCACTGGTCATTAACCAAATTACTGGTTTCCCATGTATTCGATCCTTGTTGATTTGTATTCGATCCTTGTTGATTAAATCTTGGTGAATCATTATTTTGTGGAGGGTGGCCGTACCTCGGGGAATTAAAATTCTGATTATTAGCTCTTCGAAAATCATAAGGACTTTCGGACTTATCGCTACCACTTTTTCTCAAAATATTTTCGGGTTGACTACTTCCACGTGTATCCTCTCTATAATCACTTCTCCATTTAGGATCACGACCAATATTTCTGGACCTGTTATCACGATTATTTTTCCAACTATCATTATTGTTTCCATAACTATCATTATTTTTCCAACCCGTTTCTCTATCATTTTTCCAACTACTTTCTCGACTTCCGCTTCTCCAATTTGATTCTTGATTATAGTCTCTGAAATTGGATTCACGGTCGTTATTTCTCCAGTTACTAGTATCCCGGTCATCATTCCTCCAGTTATTAGTATGACCATCATTCCTCCAGTTATTAGTATCTCGACCATTATTTCTCCGGTTATTAGTATCTCGACTCCAGTTATTAGTATCCCGGCCATTATTTCTCCAGTTACTAGAATCTTGACCATTATTTTTCCAGTTATCTCGATCATTATTTCTCCAACGATTTTCTTGATCATTATTTTTCCAGCTAGTCTCTCGATCATTATTTTTCCAGCTAGTCTCTCGATCATTATTTCTCCAACGGTTTTCTTGATCATTATTTTTCCAACTAGAAGTCTCTCGATCATTATTATTTTTCCAACTGGTTTCTCGATCATTATTATTTTTCCAACTGGTTTCTCGATCATTATTATTCTTCCAACTAGCCTCTCGATCATTATTATTTTTCCAACCAAACTCTTGTCGATTACTGTTTTCCCAGGTAGTGGGTTGTGTTCCCCAACTTGCAGTAGCATCTTTTTTGACTTGTTCCCACGCGTCGTAACCGCTGACCGTATTGTTACTTGATCCATATTTATAACCATCATCATTTCCACTAAAGTTTCTGTCGCGAATTTCGGCATAATGATCTCGTCGCCAAGCGTTATTGCATAATTTCGTTATGTGATCGGTAGATCCGCAATGCTGACACGCTAGAGGCGTAGTTCGCTCATTTGATTGCTTTGGCTCTGTGCAATCCTTTCCTGTGTGACCCTTTTGCTTACAGTTAAAGCAAACAGGCACTGGATCATCACTCAAAAATCCAGCATCTGCGAGCCATTCAAAATTCTCTGCTTCCGAACTGGCTTTCCCAGAAGCTTGTGGCAATCGATCTAGACTCGCGATCAATTGCGCTAAATATTTCTTATTTGTTTTTCCTTGCAAATCAATTAAACATTTCGTCAACGGAATTCCTTCACGTTTCAATGCGATTATTCTTCCAGTACAACCTGCCATTCTCAATTTTTTCTCGATTGTCTGGAATGTTTCTTCAGGAGATGCTTTGGCATATTCTTCAAACATTTCTTTAAATTCATCCATGTCTTTTTTTTTATCAGCTTGGAGAAGTCTATTCCAAGCTTCTTCGGGTGAGAATTTTGGAGGTATTGCATTGGTAACTAGATATAAAAAAAAATTTACATTTTAATATTCAGGATTGTAACTGATATCGATAATGACATTAAGTACTTACATGGACTAGGCTTTGGACTTCCTCGACGTATATTATTAATAAAATTGTTATTTGAATCATTATCGCGATGCATAGAAGTCACTAAATTTATTGGTTGCATCTGTGATTCTGGCACAGACTTATGGCTATCCTGCGCTTGCATTTTTGATTCATTAAACTCCCATTCATTTTTTGCAGTTTGTTTTTTATCAGATGCTTTCCACGTTTCAAGGATTTGTTGCGATGGCTCATTCACAGCGTTCCAATGTGGTTCATTTTCATTTGAGGGTTTCGCAGAAGTATCCCACGGAACAATATTCTTTGGTGCTTTATTATTTGAAGACTTCCCTGTAGGCACATTCCAAGTGTCATAAGCAGTTTGTGACGGCTCGTTCAACGGTGCATTCCATTGTGATTTAACATCCTCGTTTATCGGATTCATGGAAGCACCCCACGAAGCTATATTATTTTGTGATGTCTCGTTTAAAGACTTAGCTGCAGGTGAACTCCATGTAGTTGTTTGTAATGGTTCATTTAAAGGAATGTTCCGTTGGGATTCAGAACTTTCATTATACGCTTTCACAGAACTACTTCGCGAACTTGCACTTTTTTGTGGTGGTTTCACTGGTACCCACGAAGTCATTTGCGATGGCTCATTTGAAGGGACGTTCCATTGGGATTCGGGATTTTCGTTAAACGATTTAACTGAACTTCCCCTCGACTTTTCTGTAGAAGCACCCCATGTATCAGAAGTCATTTGTGATGGCTCGTTTAAAGGTATTTTCCCTTGAGGTTCAACATTTTCAATAGATGGTTTCAAAGGAGCACCCCACGAGCTTGCATTTTTTTGTGCTGTCTCATTTGAAGACTTTTCTGGGGGTGCACCCCATGTACTATGAGTCGTTTGCGATGGCTTATTTGAAGGAATGTTCCATTGAGATTCAGCATTTTCGTTATACGATTTAACAGAACTCCCTCGCGATTTTTCTGTAGAAGCACCCCATGTATCTGAAGTCGTTTGTGATGGTTCATTTAAAGGAATTTTCCATTGAGATCCGACATTTTCATTAGATGGTTTCACAGAGGCACTCCACGAACTTTCATTTAAAGACTTTTCTGAAGGTACGACCCACGAACTTGAATTTTTTTGTGCTGTATCATTTAAAGATTTTTCTGGCGGTGCACCCCATGTATTAGAGATTGTTTGTGATGGCTCATTTGAGGGCATTTTCCATTGAGGTTCAACATTTTCATTAAATGGTTTCACAGGGGCACCCCGCGAACTTACAGTTTTTTGTGCTGTCTCATTTAAAGATTTTTCTGGAAGTTCACCCAACGTATTAGAAGTCGTTTGTGATGGCTCATTTAAAGGTACTTTCCATTGAGGTTCGATCTTCTCATTAGATAGTTTAGCAGGGTCATACCATGAATTTTCGTTTAAAGTCTTTTCTGGAGGTGCGCTCCACGAATTTGCATTTTTTGTGCTGTCTCATTTAAAGATTGTTCTGGAGATGCACCCCACGTATTAGAGGTCATTTGTGATGACTTATTCGAAGGCATTTTCCATTGAGTTTCTACATTTTCATTAGACGTTTTCACAGGGACATCCCACGAACTTACATTACTTTGTGTTGTTTCATTTAGAGACTTTACTGGAGGCGCGCCCCATGTATTAGATGGGACTTGTGATGGCTCATTTAAAGG